ATGCTTATACAAACACAAGCATGCCTGAAAATTTAGTGATTATCAGTTGGAATATGATTTTCTCAACTGAATTTCTACTACTAAAGTAATGAGAAGAAATGACACAACTTTATATATATATATATATATATATATATATATATATACGGGAAAAGATGCGTCATTGCACTGCACTCTGATCAGAACTTCTCAATCGTTCACTGACCAGCTACAGAAAGTTGACAGGTGGAACTAATAGAATCTAGACTTAAGCTTCGGTTTTTTAATTGTGATAGAGTCTGATCAAAGCAAGGACGACAAATGCACCAGGACGTTAAATGTGATCTCAATTTTTATTAACACAAGGATTCTTCTCGACTGAATAGCTACACTGATACAAGAATAAAACTTGGTGGCACTGTGGTGGTAGAGTATAAACTCCACTATGGATAAAATTTTATTTTGATCAACTGTCACACACAATGTGTCTGTTATACAGTAATATTTACTGATGATGACCACACGCTTCGAGCACAATTTAATAATAATAATAATTTGCTTTATTCCAAAACAGTACATGTGATACAGAATGGAATTCTCAGCATTTTCACTACAGTATTGCATCCAGTTAGTACATTATCAATAAATAGAATTCTACATAGATTAAGGAAATCTCAGTTCATTATGACAACATATTGGCAAGTCGGTAGCAAAGGCAAAGTTTAACAGTGTTTGAAGGTGTTAGAAAAGTAGGTGCTATCATATTTACTGGCGTAAGCGAGAGAAAGAAACAGAGCAGCACAAAACGGAAAAAGAGAGAGAAAAGGAAAAGAAAGAAAGAAAATGTTGTACCTATAAATGATATGAGTTGGAAAGACGAGGTCCAGTTGTACTACTGACTATTTAATGAATTATAGGTGTCACGCCTAATGCTTTCTTTATCACACAGAACACGAGCTAAGTAGGGTATGGTTGAGTTTTTGTACTTGCTGGTGCGAGCATATAGTTTTCTATATAGGCTTCTGGTTTTACCTGATGAGATGCAAGGGGAGAGTTGTGAGTGAAGAGGGTGGTGTGAGTTAGATAAAATGGATTTGGCCCATTTTTCACATGAGTCCATGTGCCTGTCAACCAGAATATTTATCATTGCTGCTACTCATAATCATAATCATATCAAGGCACTGCTCACACACCACGCACTTTCTTGCTTCATTTATATACATGAGTAAAAATTGATGATGATGATTAGACAACATTTGATTGAATAAAATCAATCAGTAATATAAGATGAGAAGAAAGTACATTCGGAAATAATAATAATGTGTTATCAATACATTACAATACAAGAAGATGGGAAGGGAAATAAGATGTTTTTATAATAAAATAAATAATTAAATAACTTGTCAGAATGTTATGATGTGTATGTAAATTGAAATGAATACACTTTCACATTATTTATTATGAATTTAATTGGTGGATGGTGACTAGCAGTGGAATCCAGGATGCGCATTTTGTCCTATTTGGGAGTGGTCATCTGGATGTGCCTGCATTTCCCAGTGAGTGATGATGTTTCCAGCATGGAGGCTCGAACCCAGTGCCCATAGTTTCAAACGCCAAAGCGTTATCCACTAACTAAATGCCCAGACATCGTCGAAGCATCTGCACAAGAAGCCGACATGTCAACCTGAGACCGAGCACTTCGGTCCAATCAATCTACGGGAAAATCTAAAATTCAATTAAATTAATATGACCCGTTGCACAAGAGGTGGCTGTCGTGGCCCAGGTGGTCTAGTGGATAACGCTTTGGCGTTTGAAACTATGGGCACTGGGTTCGAGCCTCGTTGGGAACATCATCACTCACTGGGAAATGCAGGTACATCCAGATGACCACTCCCAAATAGGACGAAATGCGCATCTTGACTGTATTCCACTGCTAGTCACCATCCACCAATTAAATTCTAATTATATACCCAGACATCGTCGGAGCATCTGTACAAGAAGCCGACATGTCAACCTGAGACCGAGCACTTCGGTCCAATCAATCGATGGGAAAATCTAAAATTCAATTCAATTATTTATTATGCTTCTCTGATTTGACTAACTGACTGACTTGTGGTAATAATATCTTGCATATCTCTGGTATTAGCTGGCGATGATGATGAATCACTTGTTTTGCATCTGCTGTGTTGTGTTCGGTGTGTAAACTCGGTGATCCAGGATTCAATCAGCAATCAATCTCTCTGTTCTCTCTCCCTACCTACCTATATTACTTTTTAGAATTTTGGCTGTGTCTCACCCACGTCATTGCGTGTGACTGTGTGTTAATGCATGCAGTAAAATGTAGTGCTGAGTTGTCTTCTAAATTACTTACCTTCATGGGCGGGATCAATAATTCTGACCTTAGCTAAATTCTTATGTTCTGAAAGGCAATGTCACCACTCCTGCCTGATCTACTGGTCTGTTTGACCTATGCAGGTAGTTGACCTAACTCACAGTCATTTCAAGGTATTTTGTAAATTGCATTATTTTGTCCAATTGTGTCAACTTACAGGGTTCTTTAGCCTACAGAGCTTGTCCTATATGAGTTAGTTTGTAGGTTTGATTGCCACCATCCTAATTTCTGCTTTATTAAGAATCTTACGTAGAGTGTCAGATGTCCCCTTCCTCCTTCTTATATGGTAAGACTACTGTAGATGCCTTATATTCTCTGTTATTTATGTTACTATGATTATTAGTCTCACCATTATTTTTATTTTGCTTTTGACCTTTTCTCATCTTCCTAATGAATTTTAGAGGATAGTTACTTATTTAACACCAACCAGCCATTCTTCTATCTGTTTCATTTCATCGTTTAGGCTTTTTGTTGTACTACTCAGTGCTATTGATATACTTTGAACAATACAAAAAAGCATATAAATTACATTAAAGAGGTTTGGACATATATTTTTTTTCCATGATGACAAGGAGTAATCGGTAGGAACTAAGAGTGAGCAGGCGCGTCGGTGGCACAGTGGTAGAATGCTACCCGACCACACATGTTGTTCTGGGTTCGATCCCCAGCCGACACACTGCTTAACCTTTTTAACCTCGTAGTATGGCCGGCAAGGAGGGTAGGATGGGCCTGAGGCAGGCAACCTTATCCCTTAAAAATGAACACCACTGCTACCGAAACTTCAAGCCTCGAGCTTGAAGCCCTCAATTCCACTGAGAAAGTAAAGAAATAAAAAAGAGAAAGCAAGATAAGTCCAAAATGATGTGAATTGTTAAATAATTAAGAGTTGAAAGGTTTCACTATTTATGTGATAATTAGATGAATATACTTGTTTACACAAAGATATAGTTCAAGAGCTTTTTGAGTAGAAACTAAGTTTGATGTAGAAAGAGCACAACAATACATTAGGCTACTCAACTACATAAAACAGATTTTTGTAAAATAGGAGAAAAATGGGTGGGTTAGAGTGAGTCGTGCATAGACGAAACAATAGGATTGTTTTCTAAAGAGGAAAGTAGAAGACGTAATAGGATTTGTGTACTTTGTTATCACCAAGGCAATGCAATATTCACCAGCGTCTCTTTCTGCCTACATAGATTTGGTTTTCATCGTTCGATGATGACGATTGCCTCATCAAAAGGTAGCAAGTTAGCTTTCTTTTGCCTATTGTTTATTTTAAACACGTTCTCATTGTCCACACTATGACCAGTATCAGGCAGACAGTGCTAAACCCCACCGTTGTTTAATACCTGTGAGCTGTTTAGTCTCTCAGATTCTTTGGTATGTGTTCAGAAATGAGGAGAATAACCCTTCTGTCTATTCTCCCACTGTATGTGCTCTGGCACGTGCATTTAAATTGGTAAACACATTTGGAGGTAATATGAGGTAGGACAAGTCATGAAGAGATTGTAGCCAATTGAGAAGAATCTTTGAAATAGTAAAAGGTGAGCTTATATTATTCTGGTACACATTTGTCGTAACGATTCCAAATAGAATATAGTGGCTTTTTGTAGTGATTTAGACAAGAGGAGTGTTCACTTGAAAATGAAGTTGACTAAATCCTGACTATTTGAAAAAGTAATTGACTGCTGCGATAAACCACTTAGGAAATTAATGAAATACGACTAAATCTGCATTTCATGGTCCTAGGACACAAATCTATTGGAATATGTATGGCGTTTTAATTTGTAAAAGAATCGTCATTACTGTTTTTCAATTGTATAGTAAGTGGAAAGCAGTGGTCCCCACCTATTCTGGTTGTCTGATAACCTCAGAAGTATCCAGTTGACCCGTTTCCCCTCATTGTGTATTTTAATGCACTTTTTGGTATAGCGTTCTAGCTTGTGAATTCATAAGCCCTTCCCATCAGTTGGCAGTAATCCCAAGGCGAATATTTTTTTAAAGGTGATTTCAATATTTTTGAAATTATCAATCAAGTATTGGTTTTGAAAATTGATCTGATGCTCACTAGCGACTGACCATATTCAGGCAGTTACCTGCGGTTCTAGTGGGAAGCCGTGGCCAGTAGGGTAGAGCAGGTTGAAGGTGAGGCAGTAACTCATCGAAGAAGACATTGCGAAGTCGTTGCGCTATGTCGTGCGTGAATTAGTAGAAGTTAGAATTCATTGGCTGGCCACTGGGTCGAGTCCCAGTGTCTGCCTAGTGGTCTACGAGCTAGATCGCCTTGTAACCAGAAGGTACTGGGTTCGAACCCTGGTGGGTGCGTGCCGATAAAGAGTCCCAAACTAGGCTGATGAAACGGCTGTCCAGTACTCCCTGCAGGTTTTCCAATAGTTCTCTAACTGATGTCAGCTCATGATGAAATCCTCCAACCAATTTTCGAAATTAGACAATGAAGTATTATAACTAAATTTTGGGCACTTGAGTTCACCATTTTCTGATTTATACTTCTAGTCTCAACTAACTGGTGGTTTGTGCATATGAAATCCCTTTAAACTTGATCAATTAGCCTATTGTATCTACTTTATTGTAGCCATTTCTGCTTTTTTTGACTTTTCCTTCTCATTAGCACTGAGAATATACAACCAAATGAAAGATGTTTCAACCAGTGTCGATGCAGAATTACAACATGGAAAAATGCATATTAAGTGGGTAAAACAGCAAAAGAAGCAATTCAATCGTCCTGAGTGGCGTTATTGGGGTTCAAAGCCTATACCTCAGTTGATTGGCCCGCCGATATTTGAACCTTTTAAAGATGCTACTGCATGGGGACGATCTGATCGTTTGACAACTACAGGTAGGTGGACTTGGATTTGTTGTTAGCAACTTCACTGATGTATTCACTTAGTTGAATGCTGCACAATTTTCACGTGAATTAATAAAGACAAATAGATGAAACTTCAAAACGATACAGTCCTTAATGAGTATTCATTTACATAAAATTACATTTTACTGATTGATTAATTGATTGAATAGAATGACTAGTTGCACACTACTCATATCAACCAGTAATCCTTGCCAGCTGGTCAGATCACTGGACAGCTGTTCCGCCAGTTTGGGAGCGAGCTGATCAGCGGTGTACACGTTTTGATTTAACTGAATCAGTTCAAGCCACACCCGATTTCTCGTTAGCTGTCAGCTTGGGCGAACTGGTCACAACATAAAGCAGAATAATAGTCTGCAATTTACACAGTTCGAGGGGTGAATTTTCCCTAACTCAATCCTCTTTGAAAACCAAATAATTCAGATTACCACAGTATGTGATCCGCCTGATCTCATGAATGGTAATCAAGAAATATATATGTGTGTAAAAGTTTGGCACCGTGTAAACATGCAATTCCCTATCAGTTTGTTTTTTTTGATATATCACACACAGTCAGTGAAACAGTATTATTGTTCACTGGATGAAGCCGCCTTTTGAATACAATTTATTTATTGTTCATAATCATTTCATCAATCATAATCACTCTACTACGAAACTTGAGTTTTACAGTTTTTTGGTTCACTCCTATTTGTCGTAGGGGTAGTAGAATGGTATTAAATCCCTTTAAAAGCCACTCAAAATCTAGACTAACAAATTCTTATGAACTAAAACATAGATTAGATAATTTAAAATAAGACAGTGAAGAAAAATTCGTTAGTTTCGACATTGTCAATCTATATGCAGGTATACTAATAAATATGACTATAGAGGCAGTCAGAAACGAACTCATTTCTGAACAAGAACTTGAACTTAGAGCAAAAGTGCCACCTGAGGACATGGTGCTTGACTTCCAGATTATTTTAATTCCAGGGGGGGAATATACAAACAAACTGAGGGAGTTGCCATGAGGTCACCAACATTCCGGATTTTGGCAGATATATTCATGGATAGGTGGGAAAACTTAGCTATGGGAACGTTCAGCATTACCTCAAAAATATGGTGGATGTATGTAGACAACACATTCACTGTACTTACAACACAGGATAAAGGTAGATTTTTTGAACACATCAACTCGAAGGTGGAGGCAATCCAATTCACTTATGAATTTGAAAATCAGGAAGGGGAACTTCCAATGTTAGATTATAGCGTAAAAGGAAAGAAGATGGGAAGTTAAACACATTGGTGTGTTTATAGGAAACCCACACACTCAAACAGATATTTGGACTTCTGATAATCCCATCCTATGTCAGTAAAATTAGGATTGGTAAAATGTTTAAGTAATAGAGCACAAAAACTAAGTAGCACGAAGGAAAATCTCAGACAGGGAGTTAGGCATATAAGAGGAGCTTTGAAAATTAATTAATAATTACCCTGATAAATTAATCAGGAGGTATGTAGGGAAATTTAAAAATAAAATAAATAATAATAGTAGTGATAGTGCTAATAGTAATAGTAATGACGGTATGCATGTCAAACATGCACATGATAATGACAGCACCAACGATAAGGGAATACAAATCATCAGTAGTACTTCCATACAAAGAAGCAACCTTGGAAACCACATGGCTGAAAATTCTTAATAATGCAGGGCGGAATATATGTGGCATTCATACTCCCCAAAAGCCTTAATTAAGAAGCAAACTTTGTCGGTTAAAGGATCCCGCCGATGGAGCCAATAAAACAAAATAGTTTAGTTTATCTAGTACCCTGGTGTAGTGATTATCAGGTCAAATACACAGGGCAGATTAGCAGTATTGGGTCAGCCAGAGCAATGGGGTACAAAAACCTAGCAAAATCTAGATTAGTTGTCCCCAAGGTAAGATAAGAAATCTGGAGAGTACTTCAGCTATAGCAATCACTGCATGCACTTAAACACAACTATACAATATAGGATGATGGCATAAAATGACAGTTCTAAAATCTATCTTAAGAGAGTGGAAGGAGAGACTGGTAATAAAATCTTTATTTATCAAATCAACTGAGAATACATTCAGCAATAGGAATGATTCAAAACCTGTCCCAGACACTGCTATATGAAAAAACCACTATAGGAAACTCAGCGAGGCATTAGAAGTGAATACAGGAGTAAGAAAAGCTGGCTGTTTGGCTGACTGACTGCCTATCTGCCTGCTTGCCTATCATCACCAAAGATGATTTTCCTAATTGTGGTGGACTGGATTATGCGTCACACTGTGCACAGGCAGTGAGTGAGTGAGTGACAAGACACAAATATGCTGTACTGACCGATAAGAAGACTCTAGAAGATCTGCATTTCGCACCTGGATGACTAATATCATTGAATGTCACACTAACTCGAAGACTTGAAGGCAGGCAGGCGAAAACTGGCAACAAACACGCACAAGAGGCTGACTGTCTGGGGGGCAGCGAGGACAGGACTGACTCCATCCAGGTGATCAATATAGAGAAGGTTGAAACGGAGGTGATGATTATGGCCAACCAATAGCAACACCACCAACAACAACACCAACAAACAGTACCCATCACCATCAACGGGAGAAAGAGGTTGGGAGAGGTTTCATCCTGCCTTCACTTATCTAACCTAGGTAGCTAGCATCGTTTCAAACACAGGCAGTCGGAATGGATGAATATGTCAAAGCCAGACTGCAGGCTAGCCAGTCAGCCATAATCGGAAAGACAAGCGAGATACGCCTGTATCAACCTGAAACGAGTTTGCAAATGTTCTTCACTGCAGTCCGCCTCAGCTAGCATCAATCATTGCAGCGTTGAAGTTAGCGAAACTTATCTTCAAACGACAAAAAATATCCTATGCAACAAATCACGCGACACAGCAATGCTATGTTTCCTTCCATATGGTAGTTATTGGACTTACATGGGAACAGTCAGTACAATATTGTCTTGTTTGTCGGTTGCCTTCGGTTAAAGAAAAATATACACTTACCGCTAATTATTGTTATTTATGTCAGAAGAGAAAGTTACCTCTGACTAGTGGGTGAGTTACTATCTCAGTGTTTTAAATTGTCATGATGAACGCTCAGCAACTTCCTGTTATTTGTCATATATAGATTTGTTTGTGAAAAGTTGAACAATGTCAATTCACAGAATTTTCTGTAATAAGAATTTTTATTATCTCTTCCGCTATGATGGGAACAAAAGCTTATATATGTAGGAGAGCATGTATCTTTCAAATATAACCCATGAAAGGAAATAACTATCTTTTTGTTTCTGTCACTTACCATTCTGTCTTTTGGTAACAAAGTTTAGCTACCTTTATAGGTCCGTCTAACTAACATTTCACATATGAAATACACTACAGACTTTTGGTGTGATAATTTTGACATCTTTGTCATATGCCTGATGTCTCAGTGTTAACTGGTAGTTTGCCTAAACAGATTCAGAAAGTCACGAGTTAATAAATAAACGCACCAACGACCTTAAACGCATACATTTCGTCGGATTATAGAACTTGGTGTTATTACATCGCCAATATGAACGCTGTACGTGAACTGATGTGCAAATTTCATCGTAATCTCGTGTTTAAGCACTGTTTAAACAATGGTTTGATAGCATTAGTAGGATTAGTATTAGGGTTATGCTTGTGGTTAGCATTAGGGTTAAAGTAAGCAGTAGGAGGGTTAGGCTGCTTCATTATTGTCTGTATTTTTCCTGTAAATAAGTATATGGGATTAGGGTATTTTGTTGATCATAAAGGTGAAACCGTTTCGATAGTTAAACTGATACCCTTCATTGTAACTGGGATGTATTTTTCAGTTACTTGAGGGTAAAATATTGTCTTTGATATGGTTCGTTATTATTATTATTCATGAATAATCCCCATTCAGGTAGTAATGACAACGAAACACGTAGTTCAGCGGAGTGTCTCTTTTCGGCGAATTATTATGCTAAATGTTCTCGTAAATAAACGGCTCTTTGATGTATTTCCTGTAATGCAGCGAATGGTATGCACTCAAGGTCATCACTCCGTTCGCACTCCATGGGCAGAGAATAAAAGATGTACTGGATGTAGAACTTCGCGAGATTCACCGGAAAAAGCTGGCTGGATGCAGGAAAGGCAAATCATGTGCAGATGAAATTGCATCATCATCACAGAACAAAGCGTGGAACGGTAGCGTGTCCGATTCATCTCCATTTTCCTCGGGATATTTGTCAAGCAACAGGTTGTTAGTTGGTTCCTGCTCAGAGTCCCTTGCTATATATCCTTTTTGGACGACCATATGATCTACATTATGGAGCTAATGAAGACAGCTGTTATTAGAAGTCTGCACTGGTCTGTTAGAGATTATTGTCGCGAGACGCCAAGTTTCTGACCTACATAGAAGGACTACCTGACTTAACATCGGTGTTGAAAACCCGAGCTTCGTTTCTTCTGGTGAGTGCGGGAGACTTCCAAACTGATCTCAGAGTGATATATGTCGCCTTTGCCTTTCGGATTCTGGTTTTGATATCCTACTCCGTGCAGCCCGTGGCTGGAATGATGCTGCTCAGATAAGCGAAAGAACTGACGTCTTTCAAGTTTCTTCCGTCGATAGCGATTGGTGCTTGTTTGGTTGGTTGGTTGGTTGTTTTCATCAACCGTTTTAGCTCCTGTCTTCACTAAATTCCTCTTCTTCTAACTTGTTGGTTTTCGCCAGTAAGCATTCGAATGTATGTTACACTAGACATAAATTGTCTGTGAAGTTGTCTTGTCTCCTCAACGTATTGCTGTCTTCTGGTTCCCCAAAGAAGGTGTTTCGCATAATCCAGTGTCCCACAATCAGGGATATCATCGTTGGTAACAGTAGTCAGCCTTAGCTTAATCCTGTCTTCACTTCAACGGCTTCATTGAATTTTCCATTGTGGATCACGTGACATGCGGTATAAAACAATGATCGCTCACTAGAATTATAGATTCAAAACGTTTACTGAATAGAACATGTCGTTAAAAAGTCTGTTTTCGTGGCACTGATTACAA